AAAAAGTCAATTGGAGAAAGCAAATATTAGCAAAACGTGAACACTTAAACGTGAACACTTATAAGTTCAAAACTCGATGTAAAAAGTATAACTATCTAGAAAGTAGTCATTGCTTTCATTAACTTCTTATGTGGGATAAACCTAAATATAGTTTTCCCTCCAACATAAACATTCTTCCGATGATCAATTTTGAACACCAATTTCTCATTGACACGTTCATCATTTTTGACAAGTAAACATATGATTTCACGTTCTTATAGAGGAGAACATGGGTCGATTTTGATATTCCAAACTGAACTGATGGATCCCATCTAAAATTGTGCCAAATATAAGCTTAATCAAGTCATTTTTCCAACCTCTTTTCTTTACAAATCTATCAAACAAACTCAATGACATGACGACAAAAATAATTTATAAATATTTATTAAATATTTTAGCATATAAATAAAAATATATTTCGATCAAAGATTCAAACGGAATTCAATAAATTACAATTCAAACTAAACAATTTACATATCCCACTATTGTAATTCTAATATTATTATCTTTATTTCAACTACGATTAAGAATATTCCAGCGTTTCTTAAATATATGAACAGATTTTGTCTTTCACAATAATATTTGTGTAGTTGGATTTGTTAAATATTTATTTCAACTTTAAAAGCACAAAACAGTGAAACACACATACGGACTTTGTAAGAAACGAATGACTGTCTTTTTGAAGTTTAATAATTTCCCACACACCTATCAATTACTATTTACTAAATTTGGAACACAATAAAAATTAAATAGGACACGAAAAATTTGTCATCACTTGAATAGACGATCTCATCAAGCGTATGTCAAGGATCATCCTACCAAAATTTTCCTACACTTTAAATTCTAATAGACGATTTTTATTTATTCACTTGTTAAAAATGTCATATACAACACGTAATTCACTCGACCAATTCAAGCTTAAACCTTTTTATCATCTAATTTTATGTGATAATTTCTTCAATTCAATATAGGGATTTGAAGAACATTTTTGTTTATGAGACCTTTTTCCACTAAAATACTGTTGCATTGCAATTTTTTTCTATTTAATTTATGTGCTTTGGGCCTAATATTGATCCAGGTAATCTTGTAAGGGCGACTGACAAAAGTGCTGATATTTTTAAGTTCTTTCTTTAAATTCATGTCAAGAAAGGATTCAAATGTCATATATTTTATTATCCAGTTATTTTAAGTACTTTTATTCGAGCATATACATGAATTATTCGAGTATATGAATGAGTCGGATTTATATATGAATGAAATTGAATTATTAATTTACTTATATTAAGTCAACAAGTATATTATAAGAGCAGTTTATAGTTTTCTATATGGATCGTTTGGTCTCTTTGTGTGATTCGACTACTTATGAGTAGAATTTTTATTTTACAAACAATATACACTTGTCTGGATAGGCAACTTTTATCCAAATTTAGTATAAGGACATAATTGAGCGTTATTAACATTATATGCAATATAATAACGTTATTTGTAGTGAGTAAGTCGACGAGGAACTTTCAAAATAGTATATTCACATTGTAATTTTGATGTTTCACATTCTAAATTTCTAAAATTGACTTTTTTTTCCTTTTTATTTTTATTTTTTAATGACGGGAGAATCCTGAGGCCGTTACCCTTCGGGTGCGCACTGGGTAAACCCCTCGAGTTGACGCAATAACCTGCAAATCAAGCTAGCTAGGTAAGCAGCACTATGCAAGCTCGGTGTGACATGCTTGATCGAGAAAGTGTTGATAGGGATAATCGAATTCGTGACTAAATGCTTTCGCGTTCACCTACTCCACCAACTCGTGACCTTCTACTTCTTAATAAAAAAAAGGTTCAATAGCTTAATCATTGAATAGGAGTTTGGCAACCATTAGTAATATCAATGAAATCTAGGAGGTGCAATCACAAAGCCTAGGTACTTGCCTCATTTTGCAAACCTATTTTAGATTGATGGTTGTAAAATTAAGCCCTTGTTTGATTATGTTTTTTTTTCCTTAAAATTATTTATATCACACATTTTTCAATAAAATAATTATGTACGTTAAACATTATTTTTTTCTACATTTTATTCACTCTAACCTCTCGAGGACTAAAAATTGAAGCGAGTAGATTACTATCAAATCAAATTATTGGAATGACTTGTACTAATTTGAACCACACGGTTTATTATTTAATATTTCTTTGTTTATTCTTTTATTATTAAGCCGTCGTTGATGATCATTATTTTATAAAACAATATTTTGAATAGTACTTTTTCGAAGAACGTGTGATTAAAAAAGTAAGAAAAAATTTGAATTTATATGCAGAATATTTTATTGTGCGAATGTGGGATAAAAATGAGTATGTAGAAAAAAATTCAAATAATGATCGTGAAACAGGGGCTAAATTGTTTTGTCTTCACATTATATATCCTTGAATAAAAGCAGATTCTTAATTAGCCAAAAAGCTTAAAAATTCCCTCAAACAATACGTAAACAATAAAGTTCTTGAAACCTTTTCGAGATTAGTTTTTATATAAATAGTAGAAATACTCAAATACATCATTCGTGCCAAAAGACTAATGTGGAGAATCTAAACATCCCAAAAAATATTATTTACAAATATTAAAAAGACAAATAACAATTATCTAATACTTCTTCCAATAACATGATCAGTGTTCCTAATTAAGTAATTAATATGATCCACTTGTGTTTAAGCTTTTGATTTGATGGTTTGATGCATTTGGGGATCAAATTGAAAATTTTGGAGAACATACCATTCTCCATTTTTACCTTTTTATTTGTTCAAAAGCATCTTTAGCACGAAGTATTAAAAATTCAAAATGTAAGATAGAGGACAAAGGCTTGAATAAAAAGATCAATCCTCCCGTCTCTTGGAAGGCCGAGAATTGCCTTTGATTGATTTAAGCATCTGTTTGGTAGAGATTTTTGGAAAATCATTCTGTTCAAATTCATCTTCAATCATACATTTTTCAAATAAAATAATTTTAGGACTCATAACTTTTCTATACTTTTTAACCACACATTCTTAAAAAAATAAAAAATAAAAAAAAATAATTAGTAAAAAAATAAAAATAAATTCACTTTTCATAAAATACATTATTAAAAAATTTACATCGAATAAGGTCTAAGACACATAATTTATATATCCGACCTATATTTAAACGCGTAAATATTGAATAATGATAAAAGGGGCTAACATGTTTTTGTTTTACTACCTTACAATAATCTCAACTTGTGCACATGCAAAATATTCTTGAACTCACAAATGATCATGGGAAATGTATTTCATCACCCACTTAATTGAAAGATTCTCCACTTGTAATATGCTCAACAAATGATTAAGAAAGGTGAACGATTTTAAATTGTAAATTTGGAATCCCAATTTTTCAAATATCTCAAAAATTCGAGGAATCGAGCTTTCATAACATATATAAACAAGTAATGCGTAACAAACAAAATTTCATGTCATATCATTAATAGGTAGAATGGAAACAAAAGACATCTAACGTGAATTCAACTTAAAAAGTAAAAATGCATTGAATCACTATGAAAAAGCACGACCTAAGGCGACATAAATGAACAAATAAGTAATGAGTAATGCTATTAAGTCCAATTGAAGTTACATTTCAATTTAAATGACGTTAATGTGACATTAAATGATAGGTAGAATTAAATAAATCATTTAGTTTAACGTTTCATTTATCTTATCATCTAACGTTACCTAAATTGAAATTGTAACCCCAATATAACATTTTTCATAAGTAAATACATCGTCCACTCATATTTAATTTAATCGAGTAAAAGCACCAGAAATAATACATTCAATATTTATAGCCGGAGGAGCTAAAGATGTCGCAGGCGGACATTCTCACGCCAGTAATTCTTTTTAAATTACTCTTCTTTGTCGATTTGTTGTAGAATTAAAAAATTAGGAATTAACATTAATTAAGTATTATTAACAATTAATAAAAGGTTAATTAGATTATAATAATCATTATAAAAGTTAATACATTAGGTGCTTTTGGGGAGGCAAGTGTGTATTGAGAAGCCCTAATGTGCGCCGTCACGTGGCACGGCGTCCAAGATTCGTGTACTTTTCTCATTGGTTGAATTACAATTCACCGACGCGTGTGGACTGCGCTACCAGTATTGGATTAGATCGAATCGGACTTTTAAAAGACAAATTCCACTGGTCACGTGCGCCGCACGGAAGTCAAGTTATACCCTTTTCATACTCGGTAATTGGTAGGGACCCTTTATTAGAGAATATGGTTTGAAATGTTCAATTTTTGTTGTCAAATTTACTGTTTATATTTAATTAATAATTCGCACGTTATTTTTAATTAACGTGTTATCTATTTTGGTATTTCAACCTTAACAGCTAAATAACATCGTTAACTACTTTCTATCTCACACGAAATCTCAATTTTATCCTCAAAAATAAATTATAAAGGGTAGATTGTTGTTTAAAATTTTCTAATTTCTCCTTTCACACTTTCTTTTTTAGGTAACATACCCGGTAATTGGTAGGGACCCTTTATTAGAGAAGATGGTTTGTTAGATCTGATGCTCAATTTTTGTTGTCCAATTTATTGTTTATTCAATTAGTAATTAATACGTCATTTTAAATTAACACCTCATTTATTTTAATTTTTCAATCTTAACATCTATGTAATGTCGTTAACTGCTTTCCATCTCACACAAAATCTCACTTTTACCCTCAAAAATAAATTATAAAGGGTAAATTGTTGTTTAAAATTTCTAATTTCACTTTTCACACTTTCTTTTTTAGGCAACAAGTTGTTAATAATCTTATGCATTAATAAATCAAGCATATTAATTATCGGTTATGTGAAAATAGTTTTTAGAAATTCCAATTTATAGCTAAAACTAATAACATGACGAATTTTAACTAGAATCGAACTGATTTAGCTAGATATATATGGTTTTGGTGTGACTCAAGATAAACTAACGCCTTTTCATTCTTTCACTATAATATGCATTTTTTTTTTTATATTCAGGTATCCCAGTTTACATTAAACTAAATCCTAAACCCCCAAGACCCTTGCCCCTAGAACCTTGGAGGGGGTAAATCGCGAGTTATGCCTCAATTGGATCACAGGTTCCCCCCACCGCCTGTACACTTCTGTGCACAAGAGATCTTCCTCCAAAGTGATTGCTCCATACCAAATAAATCTGACTTCAGGTTCCCACCAGAATTCGAACCTCCACCCTGCCACTGAAAACAAGACAAATGTTGATTGATCTACCAGTTGAGCTGTACCCCGGGGGGCCACTATAATATGCTTTTGCTTCCACTTGAGTTGAACTAACCCTTTAATCTATGAGTAGTCAACAGATACGAAACTAACATTTAGCCTTTATTTGATACTCATTTTTTTCAAATTATATTTTTCTTTCAGTCATATATTTTTCAATAAAATAATATTACACACAAATTAAAAAAAAAACTTATTTTTTTAATCACACATTTTTCATCGATCTACTATTTTAAAATACATTCTTACTATAATAATGAGAAACATACGGACTCTTAGTTAGAGAATTGAATTGTGCCTACTAAAAGAATAGGCGGCCATTGTTAGGCTCTTGAAAAGCATATTACGTGTTAATAGCAAATCCCTCTTAAATCCTTGAGATAATAAAGTTAAGGTAGTCATTTATCTCGTGACTATTATTCTTTTGATCGTGTCAAAAAAAATATATTTGTTTAACTAATATTGAATGTTTCTTTCTCATCAGGCGGCGCCTGATGGTACAAAAGACCATAATCACGAGATTAAATTTAAGGGAAATTTTCAAAACTAAATGGTTAACTATAACAAATTTCAAAATTAGGAAACAAGTTTTAAAACTTAAAAATAAGATATTATTAAAATTTATTTATGAAATAATGATTTAAAAACATATTTTATTAGTTAAATATATTAAAGTCACAATTTCATACAATCTGGTCACAAAATATTGAATTAATTGGTTATAAATTATTCCTCAATCATAAATAAAAAATTTTATAAATCATAATTTACACAAATAAAAAATTTTACAAGTCACAATTTATTTATTAATTACAAATCAATACGTCAAAAATTATTAAATTAATTAGTCACAAGTTATTTTTCGATCGCAACTTAATAAATTGTGAGTCACAATCACATTTTTTAGATCATATATTATTTATTTGTCACAATCAACCAAATAATTGATCACAGTCAATCAAATACTTGATCACAAACATCCCTGCCCCATCTCATCTCATCCCATCCTACCAACGAGTACCGGAACAACCATCCCCACCACTGCCACACCAGACTGCCAATATCACCATCATAGCCACCAAAACATTGCCACAACACCATCATCCCGATCACCACTGCCATATCGAATCGCCAACATCACCACCACATCATCCACAACACCACCACAGAATGTTTGAACCCACCACAACAACCAAGACACCATCGCTAGAGCCATCGCCACAACGCCAACATGATTGCACCTACAACACCACTACTACACCAACAACTGCATAGCACCATGACAATTGCAAAAACAACACACCATCATCACCACCCCAATCTACTAAATCATAAAATGTCAATAAACGAATTATTATATAGAGAAAAAGTTGTAGAATATCAAAAGTACAAGAAAAGCTAAAAAAAAAAAAAGAGAAGAAGAAGAAGAAAGAATGGACCTGCACGGTGGTCTTCAATAGTAGTCTTCCATGTAATAAAGAGAGAGGAGGGGTGGATGTTGTAGCAGTGACGGTGGCGGCGATCTGGTGGCTTTGCACATGATAACATAACGGTGGTTTTGCCGTTGCGTCGAGTCTTGTACATCTGTGCTCCAAGTTGTGTTGCGATCGTTGGAGTCACCTCTTTTCTACCTGTTGTCGACGAAGCCATTGGAGAGAGAGAGAGATTATGATTTGTGATTTTTAGTATTTGGGTGGTTATGATTTAGAGAGAAAAGATAGAGAATATTGAATATTATTAATGTTAAGGATTTGAGTTAGTATCTGATTTTTGTATAAACAAAATTTAGATATGATTTTTTAAAATTGGATCTTAAAATTTTGGTTAGGTGTAATTTCCACTAACGGTGCGTTTGATTGTCAATATTTTTCGTGAGAAATGTCATTGTTCCATCAAATTTTCTACTCTTGTACTGTTTGATTGATATTTTTTGATGAAAAACATTTCGTTACTTTTTTTCACATGACCATATTTTCTTTAAAAATAAGGAAAATATTTTCTTTAGCGGAGTATGTTTTTATTTTCCAAATAATCTTCTCTCTTTCGCTCTCATCCACCCACCAATAAAAAATGGACAAGCATAACATTTTTAGGTTGAAAATTAAATCAATCAAATACATTTAATTGACTATTTCCGTGCATATATCTAAGCAATTTAATTGTCCAAGATAGCCTAATTTGTTTGGGTTGTTGTACCCTTTTTAATAATTGACTCATGTTTGGGTTATTTGATCAAAACTCTATTAAAGGTCTTAATTAAGATTAGAGAAAGAAAAAGTAGGATTAACAAATCAATGAAGGGATTGTCTGAGATAGCCTAACTTGTTTGAGTCGTTGTACCCTTTTTAATAATTGACCCATGTTTGGGTTATTTGATCAAAACTCTATTAAAGGTCTTAATTAAGATTATAGAAAGAAAAAGTAGGATTAACAAATCAATGAAGGGACAGGTTAAATGGATGTGATGATTATCTCAAGGTGATTAGGCAAGAAAGTTAGAAGCCGACCATATCTTAAACATATAGAAATAAAAGTGGTTGTTATTAAAGTTGAAATGATTATTGAGAATTCATGCACAATACAAACCCGAAAAGGAAAGAAAGAAGGAAAATATATTATCAAAATTTTCTATGCTTTAAACACTATCTTGAATTTCGATCCGAAAAAGATAAAGTATCGAGTGTTAAGATTAAATTTATATTTCGGATATTGATACGGAAAAAATAAAGCATCGAGTGTCAAGAGTCTAATTGATGATCGAAAATAGTGATACATGATAAAAAAAATAAAAAAAATAAAATGAACAAGACATTCTTTGCTAATTTTATTGGGGTTTTATTTTCAATTTTTATGTATGGTTGAACCAATTTTTGAATTGATCACTAATTTTTTTTTTTTTGTTAAACGTATTGACTTGGTCCATTTTTGACAGTACTATCTATTTCACACCTCTTGTGTCCAAAATTTATTTAAAATGAAACTAATTTATTATTATTCAGACAAATATTTACATTGCTATTGACATCGAATATAAAGAAAATTCTTTATGATATGAATTTTTTCAACTTCATCAAGTGTGGCAGACTTTAATCAAGTCAGCCCTAGTGGTGGATCACATGGTTGTGAAACTAACCGTTGGTTTAAAAATTGACAATTGACATGTTTAATGGAATCTTATTTTGAAGGGAATTTTTTTTCTTCGATTAAGTTGATCACATTATTTTAATCTTCCACATTGATAAAGGGTGCAAGCGGAAGATTCAATGAATTTCAATCTTAATTGTACATTTTGCCTAATATTTGGTCTTTCCACCGCTTTTGTACTATGTTTTCAACACAATGTGGTTTTCATCAAGAAGTTTGAGTCAATTTTGAATTTACTCGTTGTCTTCAATTACATAATAAGGGTCAATATTTCGTTATTTAATAAGTTGTTAATAAAATAATCTCTATTGTTTATTATTAAAAAATCTAAGTAATTTTCCGAAGTCAATTCTCAAAATTTTTGTGTAATTAAAAATTTCAATATTTTCTTTGACACTTAGGAAAATATAAATAATCAGATAAACCATTTTAATATTTTTATCGGACTTTGCTCTTGATAATTTAACTTTTCACCACGGTTCGCCGCATCCAAAATATCCCACTAGGTGACTACAAAAGAAATCTACCTTAGCATTTGGATTAACATTTAATTTTCCAAGAAAAAATAGAAAATATTTTATTTTTCAAGGAAAAAAAATCTATTTCTTTTTAAGAAAAAATTCTCTAATTGCGCTAGGTAGACAAATAGGATATGATTCTTCTCGATCGAATTCACTTTTTAATCCTTTCAAGACAAGTGTTGTTAATGCATATTCTTAATTCTCGATATTCCTTCATCAATAAACGAAAAAACTCAACTTTAACGTCCACAATTGTAAATGATCTGTCACCACAATTTCCACCGCTTCCTCATCTCTATTTTCAATAGTTTCAAAACGTTACGAGAATGTATCGTAATCAATCACAACAATTAAGTCTTCTTCTACGACTCTTCCTATAACCATACATGTTTGTCTATATAGATCTTTCACAGTACCTTTTGCATTCAAATTCCCACGTACTGTTAAAACTTAAAAAAAAAAAAAAAAAAAAGGGTGCTATATACAGCCATGGATGACTAATGGACTAAAATGACAAAAATGAATAAAACGACAGTTAAGATTTATATATATTTGGAATCTAATGAAGAAAGTTTAAAACATCAATCATATAGTATAGAAAATAAAGCTTTATTTTACTAAGGAGATGAAATTAAATAAAATAATAAAAATAAGTTAAATTTACTTGTAAGAATTTTTTTAGCTGAGAGACTAAA